GCTTAGGCCATTTGTTTAGAGGTCCCAATCGTCCATCGAATGGATGGCAGATGATGGAACATACACCATGTGAAGAGACCGGAAGCTGATGGCATGGACCCGACTGGAAGACCTGCTTCCACCACAAACCCCATGGTTTTCAGCTTCCATGTGGACCTCGGAGACCAGGGTGTACGGGCTGTGGCGCTGTCATGGCACCGTCCGGGCTCCATGGAGGTCCACCTACCTTGGGTGAGGGCTTCGGGTGCCATGTTCTCATCGTAGCTACCAGCACTCTCCAGGTTCTTGAAGTGAAGACCCAACGGAAGACCCACGGGGTGGGGGAACCACACTCCTAACAGCTGCTAACATCGACCTGTTTGGCACCTGTCCTTATAATACTATATAATACTCACATGGGCCTTACTAGCTGCTGGTATAGAACCTTCTTACGTATGAAATCTGGTATAATTCGAACCAATTCCCAGACACGACTAATGGAACTGCCCTTTTTTGCCTACAAATGCCGCCCCATTGACCCCCCCCTGGCACCACCCCTGGCCTGATCGGCAGTCCTATGGCAGTCCCAGACAGATCGTTGTCCCGTCACGCCATGGCCCACCGGTGGCTTCAGCTCGTGACCGTGCACTTGGCTTTCACGGTTCCTTTGACCGAACGGCCCTGGAAGTTTCTTGACTGATCCGTTGCATTACTTCAGCTTCAAGCCTTCTGGATCATTCCAGGACCTTCAGTTCGTGACCTCTTTGGAGTCTTTGTTTGTGACCTTTTTATGGAGCTTAGGGATCTCAGGGACGGTCATGAACTGATCTCAAGGACGGTCCTGTTTGATCGTGTGTGGATGTTCCTTGAATTGGCCAATGTCGATGTTCCTTGATTTGGTCAATGTTCAACCAGATGCCTTTGGTTCCTTCCTTCTTTTGCCTTTCAGAATTTTCTATGGTTGGCCAACCTTACAGGGGCAGGCGACTTAATGTTTGTGAATGCCATGGGGTCGAATTGATTATATCAGTTTGTGTGTCTCATCGCCAGTGCCAGTCGGTAAAAGATGATCGACATGTTTTTGAAAAAGGCCGGTTTCGCCTAACCATCATTGTCCGGTAAAACACGGGTAACGCATGGTAACGCGATATATATATATATATATATGTTTGGAGTTGTTCGGTTTGTTCGTTGCTTTTCTTCTCTGCTTATGCAGACAGAGTTGTTTGGAGTTGTCCTACGAGACCAGTGGATTGGTGATGATGAGGGGTACCCAAAAACATTCTACCTTTGGACTTGACGGGTTTCCTGTAGATGCCAATGGTTGAATGGTTTATGGCCAATCCAATGTTGAAAATCCAATGCCTGGTTCTTCACAGTGACCGAACTTGACATCCTTAAGCCTCCCAAGGGTCACTTTCGCCTCCCAAGGGTCACTTAGGAACCCTACACAGGTCACGAACTGAAGAAGCTGGTGGTTTGCATTAGATGTTGTGAATCCAATGATGCCCTACCCAGGTCGCATGCCCAGCTGCCCTGGTGGCGCCTTTTTTCCGGCGCAGTTCCTCCTCGGGCGCAGTGAGGAGGTGGTCTTTCGCCCGTGGGGCGTCGTACTTTCAAGCGTCCAAACATGTGATGTAGAGCAGAAGATGTGAGGCGCCTTCAACTTGGAGAAACTGCAACAAGATAGTTGTTGTTTTAATTGGTTTTGCCCGCCCGGAAAAAAAAGGCCCTACCAGAACATGAAGGAGGCACGTCGTCCAAGTGCATTGGTTTGACATGTGTTTTGCCTTTCAAGAGTTTCTTGGTCTGAAAGGGAATTCCACATGTTCTCGTGACTCGTGACATGGATGTTTTACATGTAATGTAAAGAATGAGGTTGAAACGTTGCAGCGAGGTCATCTGTGGGACCAAAACTCGGACATTTTGAAGCAACACCTCTAGCGACGCTTTGCAACCAACAATGATGTTTTGGTAACGGCCTGGTGAATGCTTTTAGCTGCTTGCAAAGCTCTTCTAGTGTCAGCTGAGCTTTGCTTGAAGGTTTGTTTGTCTCCTTGGAGTGCTCGTGCTCATGCATACACTTGTTGGTTGAAACCTGCCTTTACTAATTAGAAGGAAGCGATGCCTCCCTTCCGAGCTGAAGTCTAAAGTTGTCCAAAACTGAGGGAAGTGACGGGGGGGCCCTATGTGATGGCACGAGATTGAACCAGGTGTCTTGACAGCCGCGCGCATTACATGGGACAACCATCGCTAGGCAGCACCAGTTTATTTTGGAAACATATGCAGTGTCAAACTATATATATATATATACATACTGTGAAGATGTCCTTGCATGCAGGTTGATCAAAGCAGTTTTCATCGCCACAGCCGGCCCAGAGGAAAGCGGCCCCGACAAGCACATGATGCATCATGGCCCCGAGGAACTCTCAGCCCGCTTGCAATGCGGATGACACACACAAATCAAGAAGAAGCAAAGCAAGCAGATTTCGACATAGTTTCACTAGCATGTTTTTACCTTTCGTTTTGCGGTGGAAAAGCTTCCAGTGCGCTTCGCACTGGTAGCGGAGCCGGCGACCAGTGCCGGCTCCCGCGTGCCATGGCGTCTTCGGTGGGCGATCACCGCCCCTTCTGGAGAGATGATGAAGTGGTGGTGGATAAAGATGGTATCCCCCACTATAGTGGGGCAGTCCCTGGCCTGATGACGGAATACCGCCGTCGAGTTCTCTTCGCCTACAACAACTTGGAAGGCGATGGTGACACCCCGGAGAAGGAGAAGAAAGATCTTGAGAAGCGCCAATCTCGCTTCGCGAAGAAGCTTCTGGACAGTCTTCATGGAGAAGCGTGGAAGGCATGCCAAAGCCTCCTTGGTGAGAACGACAAGCTCCGGGAGAAGGACGGCTACAAGCATGTGTTTCGTGCCCTGCAATCCATCGAGAAGGCAGCTGTGCTCCGAAAGACCGAAGCTTTCGAGCAGTTCTTTGAAAAGTGTCAGCGACACAAAGGCCAAAGCATCGACTCCTGGCTTCGCAAGCGGACTCAGGAATGGAACGACCTCATCGACCTCACGGAGAACACCATGATGAGCGAAGACTTGAGAGCCTTCTTTCTGTTGAAGCATGCCTCGCTGAGCCGAGAAGATCGGAGGCAAGTGTTGTTGGCCAACCAGTCCGACTACACCCTTGAAGGCATCGAGAAGTCGCTTCGCATTTCGTTCCATGACATCCACGAGCGAGAAGGCCGACGTGAGTGGCCAAAGAAGGCTGGATACCAGCACCAGCCCAAGTACAAGAAACACTATGCCAACCTCGTGGATGAGTCTGAGGTCCCTGAGAATGTCGAGAATTATGACGAGATCTATGATCCTGAAGAGCTCCTTGACCCTGAAGAGAGCTATGCTGTGGAAGAAGAGGAGGATCCACCCTCCGACCTTGGAGCCAGCGATGATGATGAAGTTCATGAGGCCTACGCCTCGTATCAAGCCAGTCGCAACAAGTTGAAGGAACTTCAACGAAATCGTGGCTTCTTCCGCGGCGACTTCAAGGGCGAGATCAGTTTGGAGGAGCGCAAGGCAGCTGTTCAGAGGGAGAAGCAGAGGACCAGATGCGCTGCCTGCGGCCGAGTTGGCCATTGGGCTGGAGATGCAGCTTGCAGCAAGTCACACAAGAGTGGCCCCAAGAAGATGGACGGCAAGCGATCTGGTGGAGGCAAAGGGAAAGGCAAGAGCAAAGGCAAGACCGGTGGCAAAGCTTTCTACGTTGAAGAAGGCCCTCGTTACTTCAGCCTTGGAAGTGAGATGGACGAGGAAGATGCCTTTTGCCACATGGTTCATGACGATGAGACCACCGATGAGATGCACGATGCCGACCTGGATGCACGTCGAAAGAAGGCCCGGGCTCCACCTTCGGAGTCTGACTGGGAAGCTGTTGAGCCAGTGGAGTTTGATGGCACCTCCTATGCTTCTATGACGGCCATTCCTGAGCCCTATGTGTCTGAGGCCGATGATGTCCCTGTCAAGATTGAGATGACTGTGCCCTCAGACAAGATCAAGGTTCTTTTGGTCCCAAGCTTCGAGGAGGTCATGCCGAAGAAGCTCCATGAGCTGAAGGCCTACCAGCTTCAGGCCGAATGTGCAAGCGGCAACAAGAGTGACATGAAGGCGCGCTTGATGCGCTTCTTTGCTGGTGAGCCAATCCAGAAGAAGGGATGCACCAAGCAGTTCGTGCAGCTTCGACTTGATCGACCATCATCCACAACCTCCCCGAGGAAAGTTGCGAGCTCAAGTTCTGATGGACAAATGCCAGTGGTTAAGCCCAAGACAAAGTTGGCACCAAAGCCCATGCCTGAGAAGCTTCGCCGCTCCAAGGACTTTGCCTATGCTGTGAAGGAAGACCCGAATGACTACCAGCTTGAGAACGACCAGATTCCTGCAGCTTCCTTCGGCAAGTCCGGATATCAAGATCCAAGCCATGGATTTCGGAGGGACGAGGCAGAGCAGAGGGCAGCCCGTTTTCGTGAAGAGTTCGTCATGTGCAGCCGGACGGGCATCGCTGTTCCAGTCGATCGTGTGGGCAAGGCAGATCCGAATGTCCCTTGTCCTACTTGTGGCAACCATATGGCAATTCGTCGCAACCGAGATGATGGAGGTCTCTTCTTCGGCTGCTCGCGCTATAGCCAACCTACTGGCTGCCGAGGCACGCGGAAGCTCATTGAGGTGGACGCCGACTACTACAATTGGAGCAGGGCCCATGATGATGAGGCCAAGTACTGCCGCCCCTTCAAGGGCGGAGGCGTCTAGCACCTTGGCAAGAGAGATTTCACCCACCTTCGGCATCTATGCACTTGGAGAAGGTGGATTGCATGAGAATTTAGTTGATGAGCCCAATGCCGCAGACCACCGCGTTTTTCAGAATTCAATAGACTCACAACAGCAGGAGCATCACCATTTTGGGCCTGCAGTTTGTGAAGGAGAACTTGATGAGTCCAGACTGTGCCTCCTCGACACGGCCTGCACGGCCTGCATGCACAGTCGACGATGGAGAGAAAGCTATGAACGCTTGTTGCCAGAGAACTTGAGGTGCACTCAAACGCCCATCCGCAAGTCCTTTCACTTCGCCAATGGTTCCTCTACAGAAGCCAAGGCAGTTGTTTGGAAGATCCCCATCTTCATCAAGGGGTACCAGGGTGAGGTCTACAGTGCGGAGATTGAGCAGGGTATGACACCTTTGCTTTTGAGCATCTCGGCCATGTCGGCCTTGGACATGGTCATACACCTCAAGGAGCAAGTTGTTCAGGTGCGCAAGCTCGACTTGGAAGTCCCTATGCTGGTCACGAAGTCAAGACACCTGGCGATTGACATCGCTTTTGACCCTGAGGCCGCAGTCCAGACTGAAGAACTTCCCTCTACAAGTCGAGAACCTCGCATTGTCTCTGAGCGTGAAGATTTGCTTGTTTACTATGGTGAGGAAGCTCAGATGACACTCCTTGCTGGACAACCTGGACTACCAGAATGGCAACCTCCTGAAGGACGAGTTCTACAAGCTTGCACTCAGCAACGGGGCATCCGCCTTGATGACCCAACCGGACAGATGTCCGAGAGAAGAGTTGAGGAGTTGAAGAATGCAGCCTTTCACATCCAGGTTGCTGATGAGAGGATGTGGGCGGCACTCAAGCGTCACTATACACTTGCAGAGCAGTTCTGTACGCTTGACTTCAAGACAACCGTGATCTTCGAGCCCTTCGCTGGTTCCTTTGGCACAACAAGAGTTGCTTCCAGAGACTACGGTTGGACCAACTCCCAACCAATGGACCTTCGAGACGGCTACGATTTGCTCTCGACCTCAGGCCGTCGACTGCTGTATCAAGTGTTGGACGACCACCTTCCCTACTTGGTCCTCATCGCCTTCGATTGCCGGATCTGGAGTTTGTTGACCAACATGTCTCCCGGTCACCCGTGGGCAAATTTGAGAGAGACCATCGGCAAGGTGACCCTCAAGCTCATTGTCAAGATTTGCAAGATCCAACACCGAAGAGGCAGATACTATCTCATTGAGAACCCGGCTGGCAGCTACGCTTGGGTTCATGAAGGTCTTTTAGCAGAGCTCTTGGAGCATGCCGGTGGCAAGTTTGTCACTGGTGACCAATGCCCTTTTGGATGCAGAGACTCCCAGAGCTTTCGACCTATCCGGAAACCAACTGGATGGCTTTGCAACTCCGAGGTGATCCTCAACCATGTTGGTCGAAAGTGCACCTGTCGCTGGGGCAGTCACCAGCCCCTAGTTGGTCGGAACCAAGACGGCCTTCGTTCCAAGCAAGCAGCTCAATATCCACGGCCTCTGTGCAAGGCCATTTGCAATGGAGTTCTCAAGCAGATGCAGCTTGACTACAAGGTCATGATGGCTTCAACCGCTCAACATGCCTATGCCCTTGTCGATGAGGAGGACATTGAGTACGAGCTCCAAGACAGAGAGATTGACCTCGGCGACAGTTGGAAGTTGGAGGAGGACAGACTTCTTCGCATTCACAATGTGCCGAGGAGATTGCTTTTTGCGCCGGTGGCTTCAATGGATCTACCAGTTCCTTTTGAGACCTTGTTGGATGAGCGCCAAACCGTCATGGTCTTCGGAGATGGTCAAACGGCTTCACACCAGAGTCATTGGTGGAAGATCAAGCCAGAGATGATGACGGAAGAGTGGACTGGCGAGACCGAGTTCCAAATCGCTCCTGGAACTTTGACGAGGCCGCTGAACCACAAGCACTCCAACCCGCTCCCATGACTCCTGGACAAGTTGGAGATGGCAACGCCTTGAAGAGACGTAGAACCAGGACTAGACAACTCCAAAGAGGTTTTTGGGAAGAGCTTTCACAACCGGAACCACAAGACCTTTTGAATGCAGTTCTGGAGCACGTCATAGCAGAAGAACTACAAGATTGGTCACGACTTGACCTAGAAAGCGACCTTGGACAACAATGGGTCGCACATGAGTCAGCACAAGCAGAGGTCAAACTCATCCTGACCTCGCAGACCGCCAAGAGGATGAGAAAGCCTCAGCCTTTTGCTGGACCCTTGGAAGTTCCGCTCCGACGGTCCTACCTCTTGCTCGAGAGTGGCAAGGTCCTCGCAACTTCTTGGGAAGAGTGGCAAAAGATGGCCCCAGCTTCACAAGTGAGACCTTTAGTTGCCCAGAAGCGTCGCCTCTACTTGGTCCTGTTTGGAAACGAGCTCGGAGAAGGTTTGCAGATGGAGGTGGATGACCGCTTCCAAGCCAAGGAGGAGGAACGACTTCGAAAATGGCAAGCTCTACCACGTGAGCTGAAGCTGGCGGTACGCCGCATTCATGTGAATCTGGGACACGCTGATGTGCAGACTATGCTGCGATGTTTGAGGATGTCCAAAGCCTCAGATACAGCTGTCAAGGCCACACGCCTTTTTCGTTGTGAAGATTGCCCCAGAATGCATGAACATCCCAAAGAACCACGACCTTCCAAAGTTCCTGCAGTGCATGATTTCAACGTTCAAATTGGTTTGGATGTGTTTTCTGAAAGTGATGCTCAAGGACACCAATGGTCTTGGCTGAACATCCTTTGCCAAGGAACCACCTTTCAGGTTTGTGCCTTGCTGCCCGACACCAACCAGAATCCAACTGGAGCATGTTTGCTTGAAGCTTTCAACTCACATTGGTGCAGCTGGGCAGGTTTTCCTGAGCGTGGCATTGTTTGCGACCGAGCCAAGTACTTTTTAGCAGAGCTTTCGGAGGAGTTCTCAAACCACGGATGTCATTTTTCCACAGCTGCTAAAGCTAGTCCATGGCAGATTGGGCAAGTGGAGCGACATGGAGGACTCTGGAAAACCACGTTCAAGCGACTTGTTTGGGCGCAACAGATTGCAGGCAGAGAAGAAGTTTTGATGGCTACAGCAGCTACTACAGCAGCGAAGAACTCGATGGCCCGCAAGCACGGCTTCTCACCATCTCAATGGGTGATTGGCCGAGATGTCAGACTTCCTGCAGCCTTGAGCGATGATTCAGAGATTGGACGGCTCAGTGCACAATCTTTAGCAGAAACTCCTGGTACACGTTTTTACAGACAGAATGTTATCAGGATGCAAGCACGTGAGAGTTTTGCCAGAGCTGCCAATGATTCGGCACTTCGCCGAGCTGAACTTCGCAAAGCACGGCCATCACGAGGCCCTTTCCCTGTTGGCACCTATGTTTTCTATTGGGATTCAGCCGACAAGCGGAGCAGCCCCTGTTTCTGGAGAGGAGTCGCTAGAGTGATTGGTCATGAAGGCAGCAGCACAGTTTGGCTAGCACACCGAGGTATTTTGGTAGCAGTTTCTCCTGAGCATTTGAGCAGAGCATATGAGGAAGAGATTCAACAGTGGATCAATGTGAACCACGAGACCGACCTCATTGATGCTGTCCCTGCCGCTGGAGGAACAGGTTTTCTGGATTTGAGGAAAGCAGCACCGCCTGACTTTTCGAACCTTCCAAAGCTTTCTGCACCAGAGCTACCAGAGCTTCCTGACCTACCCGAAGGTGAGCAAGAGCTTGATTTGGAGTCAACACCTTCGATTCCTGATGACCCGATGGAGGCACCTCGTGAAGATGTGCCGCTTCAAGATGAACCACCTGCTCAAGAACCGAGTTCAGAAGACTTGAGTGCGAGCTCAACTTCCATGGCTCGCATGAAATATGAGTCAGAAAGAGACGCCAAAAGAGCGATCAAAAGCAGCGATTTCTTCAATCGCAAGGCTGAGGAAAGAAGAAAGCAGAGAGAACAGAAGCTGAAAGATATGGGCATCACCTCCAAGCCCATGGAAGCAGAAGCAAGAGCAATTCCAGCAGGCTCAGATTTCGACCCTGACCTTGACGACTACCACACACGCCCGACACGGCAGTTGAGCCCGGTGGTAGAGTTCGATGCAGAGGCTGCTGAACGAGAAGCCAAGCGGCTTCGTTTGACTGCAGAAGAAAAGGCGCCTGAGAGCGCTACTTTTGTTGGAGAGCCCCTGCGAGCATACATGGTCATGGAGTCCCAGCACTTTTTGAACACAGAAGCACGCCAACAGTATTTTTTTGCATGAAGAGTTTTATTTGGAGCGCCGTGTTTCGCAGAGTGATTTCATGTTTGCAGTGCATCGCAACCTTTTTGACGACAAGTATGCAGTGCTTGCCGAGTATGCCTTCCAAAGCGGACAAACCACGACACCTGTCAAGAAGAAGGGCAGGAAAGAGCTGAAGCTGAATGAGATTCCCAAGGACAAGCAGCTTTTGTTTACTGGACCTGACGGTTCGGATGCCCGCGAATGGAAAGCCTGGCTCGAGAAGGAAGCCTGCACAGTTGTTGATTTGGAGAGATCACAAAAGATCCGCAGAGACAGCCCCGACTTGATCGTGCCGACACGATGGGTGCGAACTAACAAGTCAGAGGGCATTGTTGGAAAAGAATTTCAGGCGAAAAGCCGACTGGTCGTGCAAGGATTCAAGGACAAGATGCTTGGTGCCTATAGGAGGGACGCCCCAACGGCGTCAGCAGCTGCAGAATCCATTTGTTTGGCCCTGGTCGCTCATTTTCATTTTGTGCTCCTGGCAAAAGACATCAAGAATGCCTACTTCAGTGGCAAGCGCCTCGGACGCGAGGTCTATCTTGATCCTCCAAGAGGAGGTCTCCCTGGAGTACGACCTGGTCAATTGCTGGAGGCTCATAAAGCCATTTACGGTTTTGCAGAGTCGGCCCGACTTTTCTGGCTGGCACTACGTGAGCACCTCTTAGCTGATGGATGGCAAGAGTCCCAGCTGGAACCTGCACTTTTCTACCTGAGAGAAGGCGGACGACTTCGAGGTGTGCTTGTGACACATGTTGATGACCTCGAAGGAGGAGTTCAAGAGGATTGGCTCAACCGAGCCTTTGCCAAATCCTCAGCTGCCCTTGAGTTTGCAACCAACCACGTCCACGACTTCATTTTCAGAGGTCGCGAGATTCGACAGACCCCTGAGGGACACATCGATGTGATGATGAAGAACTATGCATTGTCTCTCAAGCCTGTCAACCTCAAGAAGGAAAGACGGCAGCAGCTTGAGTCCAGCCTGACGGAGGAGGAGAAGGAAGTGCTGAACAGTTCAGCTGGAGAGCTTGGATGGCTTTCGCGCCAGTTACGGTGCGACCTAGCGTTTGAAAACGGCTGTGCCCAAAGGTGCAAGGCTGACCCTTGCATAGCAGACCTCCTGAAGTTGAAGGGGTACCTAGGTGCAGCAAAACGCGCAGCTGACTTTCGGATGAGATACTGGTCCGACGTCAACCTGGCTGAAGGTGTGATGGTCATGTTGTCGGATAGCGGCCACGCCAACAACAATGAAGCTGGAGATAAGAAGTTCCGCTCTGTTGGAGGATTTTTCATCCTGATAGCAAACCCCGACATTCTACATGGGGGTGAAGTTCGCTGCAATGTTTTGAGTTTTCACTCCGGCACCACGAAGCGTGTTTGCAGAAGCACTTTGGCCGCCGAGGCCAGCCACTTGGCTGAAGCAGTAGAAGCTGGTGATTGGATGATCGTTCTTTTAGAAGAGGCTTTGACTGGAGAACTCGACCTGAAGAATTGGCCCGAGATCATCAAGAGAAGACAGCGCGTCTATGTCACCGACGCCAAATCAGTCTACGACTACTTGGAGAAAGACAGCACCAGCACCTCTTCAGATAAGAGGATGGCCATAGAAGGAGCTCTTCTTCGAGAAACCGTCCGACAGGATGGAGCACATGTGAGGTGGATTGATGGCATGCAGAACATTGCCGATGTCCTCACGAAGATGGGAGCAGACAAAACTATGCTCCGTGAGTTCCTTAGAACAGGAAAGCTTTCGCTAGTTCAGAACGAGCTCAACCGACAGCTCAAAGAGAAGAAAAGAACAGAACGCCAGAATAGAAAGAAAGGGAAAGCTGAAGATAGCCAGAAAGAAGAGAGGCAAAAGCTTCGAAGGCAGAAGCTAGCGGCTGAAGTGAAGGCCGAGCAAGCTGATGAATCAGCTGAAGATGAGCTTTGATCAAAGAAAGAAAATACCAGTGTGAAGATGTCCTTGCATGCAGGTTGATCAAAGCAGTTTTCATCGCCACAGCCGGCCCAGAGGAAAGCGGCCCCGACAAGCACATGATGCATCATGGCCCCGAGGAACTCTCAGCCCGCTTGCAATGCGGATGACACACACAAATCAAGAAGAAGCAAAGCAAGCAGATTTCGACATAGTTTCACTAGCATGTTTTTACCTTTCGTTTTGCGGTGGAAAAGCTTCCAGTGCGCTTCGCACATACATACATATATTCAGGAGATCATGTGAACGCTATAGGCGGGAAAGGCCCCGGAAAGGCTAAGTCGGCCAAGTGCATGGTCTTCTTCAGGCGTCTTCAGATGTCTTCAGAGATGCATACACCCCAAGAGAACCCACATAAAAACCTGAAAACCAATGGGTTTGCAGGGGTGAACTGGTGGGCAGGATGCCCTTCGACCTGGGGTCCATGTGACTCGGGGAAGGCCGCCGAACCGTCGCGGCCAGGTTCCGGGGCGGCCAGAACTCGTGCGGCACGGAGAGCAGCCGCGTAGGACGGATCGGAGAGCCGCGTAGGTGGGGCGGAAACTGGGGGCCCTAGGGCTCCAGTGATATATCTTAAGATATCTTAAGTATTCTTTTGCTCCGTTCGTAGCGATGCCCTTTGTGACTGGTAGCTTGTTATTAGTAAGGCCAGGAGCTACTAGTAGCGTTTAAGTGATAAGGTGTTTGGGGCTGATTTACGGGTCCAGTCAAACCTCAGAGAGGAGGTACAACTGGAGCCGTAACTAGGGACTTGATGACATCCTTTTTGATTTGCAGACCATGTTGACTTGCAGAGGGGGTTTGCTCAGCGGTTTCCATGATTGCTAGAGGAAGGGTGCATGTAAACCCCAAATCCATGTCTATCAAGACTTTTCTCTTGGCCGTTGTGAATCATGACTTTGGAAGAGGTGTTGCATGGGTATACAGTTGTTTGTTTTCTTTTTGTTCGTTCCACCAATGAAAAAGTACTAGTTCCTAGTTGAGGGGATGAAGATTGAAGATTTAATATAAGAATTGGATCATTTTTAGATGCTCTGATCGATTTGGATCAATTTGACTTCAGTGCCTTGGCCGTGGCTTTCGTCCGGCCGGACTTGTGGCTCCGTAGCCCGGGCTCGAGACCGCTCTGCACGGAGCGGTCGAGCGGGTGTGAGCCATGATTGATGCCTATGATGTGCTGGGGCTTCAGCTGGATTGTAAAGAAGAAGATGTTAAGAAGGCGTCACTTGGTAGACAAAGTGGACCATGTGGATGGACCTGCTTGGCGTCACTTGGTAGACAAAGTGGACCATGTGGATGGACCTGCTTGGCGTCACTTGGTAGACAAAGTGGACCATGTGGATGGACCTGCTTTCGTCGTGGCTCGTGTTCACGAGGATGTGTGCTGGGGCCGAGAAGACCAGTTCATAAACTGGAGAAGAGTTGGAGCTGGTAAGTCGCCCTAACCTCCGGATTTGTCACCTATACATTTATTATATATGTTTGCTTGAGAAGGCACTTGAAGAACACTGGCATGGGCCTGACTAGCTAGGCCTGGGAAGGCGCATTGAGGCAAGGATGAATAAGGTAAAGACCCCTTGCCATAGGATACTGAACAGGATCCATTCCATCATTCCTCGCGAGTCGCACCAGTCAGAGGGGCGTTCATCAACCAAAGGGGCGTTCTCCATCGCGTGACCCAGCTGGATTCTGGAGGTCTTGTAGAGATATTACAGTATTTCTGTGTGAGCTGGTGTTGCCCTACAACAAGGGGAGTCATTGTCCCTCCTTTGGCGGCCGCTCGTGACACTGAATTTATGAAAGTTAAGTGCACCTGAAGCGTGTTCTCAAGGAGAATTCTGGACCAGGTGTGTGCTTGCATTCTTCATGGCTAGGTTTTCCGGGCTGATCATTCAAGCCAGCCGCCGATGTTTGTTCCTCTTTGCATAGCTCAATCTTGTGAGGCCACCATCTTCAGTGTGGATCCTTTCCCTACAGGTCTTACGGACCTCATGCACGACTGGGTCCGGGAAAATGCAAAACCAGTACTCCATGAAGTCAGTCGGACCAGGTGAAAAACGCCAGGCCTGTGACGACGTAGGTAGGGCTGACTGGTGTGTCCGCGCCCATCTATGCGTTCTTACACAGGGTCGACCTGTTCTGATCCAGGGCTCACGCACGTGCGCCACCACTGACTCTGGCGAACGTGCCCGGGACGTGCGCCGCCCGACCGAGGTATCATAAGATGTCGCTGCTCGGCCACGGACGGATTCACAGTCAGTTGGTTGCTACTGGAGCACAGGTCGGCGGATGTCTTCCTCTAAACTCTCCGACCACCTCCCTGACTCTGTCCTGTCCTAAACATATTGGCAGGCATGCTTCCGGGATGGAAGTCCGGCGCAAGCCTGACACTCTCTGGCGAACTCATCACATGGAAGTGGAACATGTACTGAACACAATGTTCCGTTAAAACAGGGGGTGACATCCACGTCCCATGCCGTGAATCAGAATGTATATGTCCAAGAAGTCATGGATTCAGTACCCAGACGCTCCATGCATGGAATATATGCCGCCCCATTGACCCCTGAAACCACTCCAATGTATGCAAATATGCCAGTCCCATGGAGTGTCTGGGGTATGATTCAGTCATGGATTCTGTCACATTTAAACCATGAAAGCCTCGAACTCACCCAGGAGAGCCTTCATAATGCAACCAGGAGCCAATTCCAGTCACCTCACAAACCAAGACAATAACAATCACTGTCTTGTAGAATCCTGTTCTTGCACCACGGTCTGTGTTCTTTGCATTGGATCCTATACTACCCTACCCGCTAAATCCTCGTTCACGCTGTCGTGCTGTCGATCTGATCTGGACCGGTCAATTCCTCAGGGACCCCGGACTGACCGGGACTCCATGGACACACGGCGCTTCCTGCTTCCGACTCCACGCGGATCCTGGGTGGCGATGTGGCATCTCTTCTGGTGCCAACAGGGACGGATTTGATCATGAAGGAAAAAGTGCTGACCCTCCAAGAACTATACCAGGCTTAGAACTCTGGTATCTATTTAGAGGGTCTATGTCCCTTCTTCCAGGGGGTGGTCGGAACGCCGAACAGAGGTCTCCCATCCTTTCATCCTATTGGAAACCCATGCACACCCGACCTCACCGCCTGAGGCTGCAGTACCATCCTGACAAGGTGGGCGGTGGTGACGACGCCACGAAGAAGTTTAACGAGATCAAAAGCGCCCGCGAGCCGCCCGGCGGAGCGCCCGGGAGCTGGGAGCCACGCGGGGTGCCGAGCTCCAGTGTGCGGCGTGGGTGAGCTGGAATCCACCCGGAAATGGGGATGCAAGAGGGGTCAGATGAGGGCAAGACCACCGAAATACGGCTGGATCCACCAGAAGGTCAGGGGCCAGATGAGGTCAGGGTGAAACTGAAGACCTTGAATTGAGATGGGCCGGGATGTTCGTGCCGTGTTTTGGTGACGTTTCGAGCGATGTCGGGTGATTCCAAAACAGATCGGACGAGAGTCCAAAAAGATCAGTCAGTTTATCATAGTTTGTCCATGTTCATGGTGATATAGGTACCAACCCCCCCGAAGACTCTTGGCTTATAAGACTCCCCCGGTTCAATGTGGTTCATCGAGTCAAGGGCGTGGTCAAAACATGGTCTTTGGGAATTTGAACCATCGAGTTCTGGAGCATTGCTACTATACCCTCAGACGTCCGAGGTCGACCCCCGACCTCGGTCCGGTCGGACCCGACCTCTTCGCGGGTGTTGCGACACAAGGCCCCCGGACTTCTTAGGGTAGTTACCATGGACTTATAGGGCCCTCCAAGGGGTCGAATTGGTATCCGAGTGCTGGACCTCGATTTCTCAAGTGCTGGAGACTCCATGCGCTCCATGATGGTGCGCATGGAGGGTGGGGAATGCCCATGATCCACTCCATGATCTATTTTTCTGGAAGAGGACCTTCCGTTTGTGACCTCCAACTGGAGTGTCTAAGTGACCTCTTCAGGAACTAAGTGACCTCCCCCAGGGCTTCTGAGATCTCAAGTTCGGTCTCAATCGACCTGGCCTTTGGAGCGAAGCGTGTCCGAAGCGTGTCTTTCGTTTGAAGGAACAGCTCGAAGCGCCGTGGTCCACCCATAAAACAACCCAGCTGGATGCCCGTTCTTGTTCTGGAGCATAGGGAGACAAGGCATAGGGAGACTCCATTCGGTCCTGATCCGGGGGTCATGCGGTCATGCCTGGTGATGAGGCGCTGCAACGGGGCAGTGGCTGAAAAGTTGGGCGCTGAACATGGCGGTATCCGATGGTCAAATTACATATGTCGAAGCACCCTTCTGTGACGTTTCTTGAGGTGCATTCCAGAAAAGAAAACGGATAACAAACGCACACTGTGTGCCATCCAGTTTGATCCGGCACACTTTTGGGCAAGAAGTTCACATACGTTTACCAAGGAGGACACAAATCCCACATTTTTCATGATGTTTATACAGTTTTGGTCACCTACTTTCTTAGTGTGTAATCTTTGACTTTACTTGAGGTTTGATCGGAATGAATAAGTTAGGCACCCTTCACAGTAGGATAAGTACTTTGATTCAACAAAAATCACTCAAACCGCCTGTTAGTTGCTCAGTGTCCCTTTATTTCCCCACCTGCGCCCGAACCTGATGGTCTCTTCCCAACGAAAACGGTCTCAGACGTTTGGGACCCACCTGAGGGTCCTACAAGATAGCGAGCGCCGGAAGATCTACGACACCTTCGGCACCGATCTAGGACGGCGAACCGAACTGGGGCCGTTTGCACGTGAGAAAAAGCGGGGGGGAAGCGCAGGGTGATGCGAAAGAGGATGTATTTCTGTTGGAGGATGGATGTCAAACACTTGGAAAGAACAGGTCAATTTATACACACCAGCTAGCATGTCAAGATATGTCAAGGGTGAAATCGACTTGCCGTTTTCAGGCAACGCCACCAATTGGCACTTGGCCATGGGTGATTTGGCAGAGTTTTAGGAGTGGGGATATGTGCCAGCTGATTAATCTTCTGTGGGGCTCTCTCATGAGATTTCAATTACAAGTGCTTCCATGTCCTTCCCGTTCTTCATGTGTATATTTAGTTTATATATATTATACATATATTAGTGGATAGACATTAAACATTCCTGGAGAACCATTTGGTACACTAAAATGTGTACCACTTTTTTTTTAATGCACGTTTCCCAGAAATGTGTTCGATTCAGGGTCCAAAAAAACAGGTGTTCGTTTGTTTTGGTGCACTGCGCAGAAATGTTCCACCATGGCCCAAAAGTGAGCATGCATACCCCGATTGGCACCCCACAAAAGCACACATGTTTTATACGGATTGTAGTTTATATACGGGGTGTCCCAGATTGACCCATGGAAGGCTTTAAAAGCCATTGGTTGGGAGTTGCAAGCCCCCTATTCAAATCCTAAATGCATGTTATTGTATTAATCTTATTTGCACACCCTCCATGACCTACGCAAAAGCATTGGAGCTACGTGGATGTCAACAACCCACCAGGCGGGGACCCTATCAGAGCTGATTCAGCGCTAATTCAGCGCCTTTTCAGGAGAAGAGCGGCCGGAATTGGAAGTTTGGAGCATTGGCATTAACACCTTGCTGAGCCCCTTCGGTGCCTTCATCTTGCCCCGCGGCCGAAAAGGGGTTTGGAATTGGGTCTTCACACCAAAGCCAGGGTGCTTGGTTGAGGAGGAATCTGGAGATGGGCGTGTTTGTGTCCAGAGGGACCCAGGCAAATGGTCGAAGACAGTTCATTTGTGTAACATCAAATACCAAGACACCCGGGCCAGGGGTGTCTATATTGATAGCCCCTTAGAGGTTAAGGGGTGTCCATGAACCACCCCTTGTGGGTCCTAGTATCTATTATATTCCCTAGGGCTCCTGTCCCATGTCCTCAGGTGACCGGTGGTTAGACCCTCCTGGCACCCACCCCAACCATCTTCGAAACGGAGGTGGGCCAGGAGCCCTAGGGATTATAGAATCGGCACCACCATTGCACCCGGAAGAGCCATGAGATTCCAGAACTTCATTGGTCGTTCTTGACACCTCTGCTTCTGCCCCACATGTCCCAAACTTTCACCCTATAGAAACAAGAGAACCACACCGTTTCAACCAATTCCGAGGCCATCCAAAAGCCTGCCAGCACCTCTCCCACCCTTCCCTAGATCCAGTCGTACCTTCTCAGGTACGGTGATGTGTTCGACACTGTTATTTGCCGGTGCCAGGGTCATGTCGGGTCCCGTCGCACCGAACCTAAGAGGGTACGGCTGGATCCCAACAGCTTGGAGTTGGGAGACTCATGTCTCCACTACTCCGACAAGCCCCAGATACTTCGATCCCAAGGGCTTGACAACCTGGAAAACCTTTGCCCGACCGGACCGTCGCACAAACTCGTTTGGACTGGGGTGACGGGTCCAGCTCGGTCCAGCTCATACCGCGGCGTTGCGGTACGACTGGAGCCCGATTGGGCTGTGGAAGATATAACTTATACCTAGGAACTCCTGGTGTTACCTTTTTACGTCGTTTCGTGAAACTCAGTAAATTTACGTCGTTTTCCAGAATTTACGTCGTTTGAGTTTATTTTCGTCGTTTCGTTTGTTTGGTGGATTCCCATTCTGCACATAGTCGTTCACAGTGCTTTTAACTCTGCATAGGTTGGCAAATCCTGTAGACAGGAAACTGGACCAAGGGCAAAGGCAAACATTGCTCCAAAATCAAGTAAAGCACAGTGAAGAACCATAGACAATGTCCAGAATGACAACCTAGACTCTCTTATCCCAATCACCCTTGCCCCTGACCCTTTCGTTCTAAACTCCCGTAATGCCTCTTGAACAAGAGGCCTGCTTTCACTAGCCACCAGCTAAGCACTCGTTCAAAAGTCACACGTGTGTCCGATCTCCGAGAAAGCCGACTAAGTCGGCCCACAACATCTTCATTCATGCAGCAGTCGAAACATACCGGACTCAAGGAAATCCCACTGCCAGACTCAATCTGCAAACGCAGCTCGACGAGTGTGTGACACTGAAAATGCAGCTTTGGAATTAAGGCAAACAGACAGAGTCTGTTTGCCATGGCCTTGTGCGCTAGAGTGGAATACCCAACCACAAAAGCATGCCCAACCTCGTAAAGCCTCAATGCACAATCTGGCGCCAGGAACAGACCATGCTTGTAGACTATATCGAACCAAGCTATGCCGACGCGGGTTGTGGACAAAATGGTGTCCAACACAAATCTTTGGTCCTCACTCAAATTCTTTGAGTTCAAGAAACCTACTGCAATTGTAGCTATCCAGTCCATGATCAATGAAGTGTCTGAAGCCTTCGTGTTGCACCAGGGGTAGCTCGTTGAGCTCTTGTAGGAAAACAAACTTGGCGAGAAGCTCCTCAAGGAAGCAAATTTGTGCACAACTTGCAAGTAAACCTTGAAATGGCCGTAAGCCGTTGTCAATTTGTCATCTACCTTGCCACGACTGCCAAAAAAGCCATACCGCAAGAACTGGAAGATACAACTCGCAACAAAATGCCTGTGGATGCCCAGTTTCAGGTTGTGAAACTGGTCACACTTCAGAAAATATTCTGGCATGGATGCATCAAATGGGATCGCAGCCAGCAAGGGAGGTTCTTCAGGACGCCAAGGTCGTTCTGAGTAAAGGGTGTGTTCCCAAATAGGGTTTGCTGTGTAATCTTCAGCTGGAAGGTTTGCAACCCCTGCTTTACACAGGTGACACGAAGGAAGATCCCGCACACGGCCACGGCCTTCATATCCTCGGACCAAGCGACCTACTTTGGCATGCCACTTCAAGTCGCCTTTGGCAGCAACGCATGCAACCCTCCAATGCTCCGACCTGGCTTCAAAGCCTGCGCTGAACAAGCCGAGCAACTTCTCAGAAAAAATTGACAACAGCTTCTCTGTAATGACTTTTACTTTGTCTCCCAGCACACCTGGAACAACACAGAAAGGGAAATGTTGAACAAATGAAGGTCCCTTCAAGTTGGATCTGAGCGTTTTGGCCAGCTCATGTGCCTCTTCCGCCCCAGACAAGCAAACAGGTTCTCCACAAGATGGCGTGCATTTGTTGCACAAAGATGTATGCCCCTTCAGCCCCAAAATCGCTTCCATTGTAATGATTGTTGTACTCGATCTGCGCTTGCCACGGCCTTCATCGCCGTGTATGGCAACAGGGATAGTGTGGTGAAGATCATTTGCAAACTGGGCGAACAGTTCATGAGTTGAGTGGACTGTTCGGTAGCTATCCCAAAATGCCTTGAAACAGGCCTTGCCATGGTCAAGGTCAAAGCACCCAGTCAATGTAGAAGGGTGCTTATCCATGAGGTATGTAAGGAGCTTTGCAGGATCCAAATAAGTGACTTGAATGGAGGAGCCATCATCGAAAAACACATCAACCACGTCCAATGGAACATTCCACCCGATCCACTTTCGACGAACCATCCGCATGGCATCTCGTGCAGCATTGTGGAGCTGAGACTTTTCACTCTTTTGTCCACCATCTAGTGCTGCACCATGCATCCGCCTGCAGGTGACTGCTGGGACCTGGGCGAAGCAGAAACCTAAACCTTTCCAAGCTACAAGGCCTCTAAGCAAAGCATGACAAAACCATAACATGACATAATAATTGTATCACATCCAGTCACATCCACTGTATACCTGCGAGAAAATGAACAGAGCAAAGTTGCAGCTAAAAATGTAAGCCTCCCACTCCGTCAGCAACTGCCTCTGCATACGCTTCTTCTAGAGACCTTTTCTTTTGGTCATTTTGCTGACCATCACCTGGCATGATTGAAACATGCAGGACCTGCCATGAATGCACATCTGAAACTTAACCAGTGGATATCTTCTTCCTGGGTTTTGGTGGTTTGGTAGGAGCCCCAGTGGACCATCTTGGGGGCTTTGGTGGTTTGGTCGGAGCCCCAGTAGACCATCTTGGGGGTATCCGAGAGGTCCAACCACCAAGCAACAAATGGCAAACTGTCAATACAAAAGCACTTGTCGTTGCTAAGAAACATTGTCGCACGGTCTCCTAATTTTTCCCCGCTGTTCGTCCGCAGTAGAGTTGGGATCTGACGAATATCGAATTGCATATGCTCCTACAAAAGCATTTGGATGAATTGGCAACTAACTTTGCCAAGTGCATCTGGGCAAAATTGAAATCTCTAGGCGTTTGCCTTGTTTTTGTTTTTGGCGGCTGCTTTCCCCTTTGGGGCAGCGGAAGACTTTGGGGCTCCCTTTGGAACGGCAGCTCCATTGGAAGTAGATGAAGCCTTGGCCGATGCGGCCTTGGCCGCAGCGTTTTTGGCCCGCTGGCTTTGCCGCTTCGTTCCCTTCAGTTTAGACGAATCCTCCTTTGGGCTTGCCTTCGGCAAAGATGACCTGAAGGAGTGTTCAATCCCTCTGTAGATCAAAGGTTTAGTTCCATTCGTGCTATGGACAATCTCACCACCAAGGTCCCAGCTTTGTTCTTGACTCAAGGTTCAAGGCCTCCACCGCCCTTAGAATTTGTCACCCAAAATGTACACAACAAGAACAACAACCAAACACAAAATTAAGGTCTGTTCCGGAGTTTGGCATCGTGATACTGGGATCGCAGATTGTCCTCTGACCTGAAATGACAAAGTGGGTCTAAGAGATTAGTGGGATGTGTTGCTGCAATGACATCTTGGGCAACGACTCCTTGGAAAAACCCTCCACAATCCCATTCGTGTAGATCGTTTCAATTTCTTT